TGTGTGTGTGTGTGTGTGTGGCATTCATAACTGTTTGAGCAGAAATGGAAAAAGGCCCCCCAAATGCCACCCTGCCCTCATAATTCCACTCGAGGGGGATGGGTTCTCTGTCTGAAGCTCTGTCTATCGTCGATCTTCTCAGACCACCACCCCCATCCCCCGGGGACACACAGCAGCCTCCCCGGTCACCCCCCGCCCTCTGTAAATTATCGGCATCTCTCCCTTCCATGGGTCCCGCTGCAGCATCCACGGGGACCCCGAGAAGTATGGCTCCCTTTTCCTCCTGAAGGCGAGGATGGATGGAGGTGGGCGGCTGCGAGGAGGGGCCCCCGCAATGACCGTAGGATGGCACCTGGCCCTGAGCCAGCAGAGCAGAAAGCTTCCCACTCAAAGCGAAACTCGGGCCATTTTTAAGTGGGTTTGCGGAAGCTCGCTGTGCACACACTCACCACAGATGGCACGTCTCCTGCAGAGGAAGAGAGACCAGAGCCGGAAGGCTTGAAAGGGGAGTTGCAATCAGATCAGAGTCCAAGGCTGGGTCCTGGCCTCGCCGGTGGCTCAAGGACCACGTTTCCCGCTAACAGACATCCAGGGATGGACGCCCCTGTGACCATGTCGGGACAAGTCAAACTGCAGTGGGGAGGGGAGCCGTGGGTGTCTTAGGGTCCTGGTGCCCAGCTGAGCCCCCACGCCCTGATTTCTGGCGCCCCGGCATCGTACACACTCGCGGTCAGATGCAGAAGGGACGGCCTCGGCCAATGGCAAAATAGCAACGCGGTCATCCCCGGCGGGATCTCGAGAAGAGAAGTAAGAGGTACGCTGAGAAACACAGACCTCGAAACCCCAAGCCGACGGCAGAGTTTCCTCTTGTGGGGTGCATGCTGGGCTCCGGGGAAAGACCCCCAGCCTGGCTAAGACCCGGCCAACGTTCGCACGACGTGCTGTTTGCACAAGCTTGCAGCTCCGGTTTCCGAGTCCCAAACCCTCGGGGGCAAAGGGCTTCTCCAGGTGACCGCAGCCAGAAGGAAACTGGATTCAAGTGGAGCGAGTCAAAACCCAGGTGAACCCATTAGGGAGACCTAAGAGCCAGATGCGGGGTCCTGTGAGGTGCGGTGCAGGGAATACACACCTGTGACCACCGCCGTGTCACCACAACAGCTCACATGATGCTGAGGTGCCTGCAGCCACAGGCTGAGGCCATCAGTATAATGTCTGTCTGGGTCAGGTCAGGCAGCTATAACAGAATATTACAGACGGGGCAGCTTAAACAACAGGCATTTATTTCTCCTAGTCCTGGAGGCCGGATGTCTGGGATCAAGGTGCCAACGGGGTCACATTCTGGTGAGGACCTCTTCCTGGCTTGCAGACAGCCCCTTACAGGAACGTGGCATCCTGGGCAGATCCTCAGCTCAACAGCACAGCACACCTAACGGTCCCTTATAGCATCCTTAAGCCATGTCCTTAACCCCCACCAGCTGTCCCCACCCTGTGGACTCCAGGTCAGGTGGCCCAACTTGAGTGCCATCTTTGAAAGTGAGAAAATACACACGTCGTGCTTCTCTTTCTTTCTTTTGTGTTTGTTTGTTTGTTCAGTTGGGGCATTTTTGTTGCTGTTTTTCCTACTTTAAGTGTTAAAGCTCTTTTGTCCAGCATTCAAAGAAAGAGAAATCCGGTATCATCCAGGTCGATACGGCAGCAAAGCCGTCACCCAGACTTTGAAAACCAACAGAAGTGAACAGTGAGCTGCCTTTGGTTTGCATTTACATAATAAATTAGAAAGAAAGTGAAACAGGGACCCACTGTACCCAGAAGGCGGGGTGTAGGCAGCCCCAGGGATCCCTTGTCCCCGCCGGGCCCGGGCCCTCCCTCTCTGTGGGTCTGAGGGGCTGGCAGTCGGGAGTGGGGTGTGCGGACAGCTGGGTGGACTTCTCTGTCATGGGGGCGGGGGGCAGATCAGCGGGAAAAACAGAAGTTCAGGTGTGCGAGGCTCAAGTGCCAGCGGTTCAGGTGCCAGCAGCTCAGAGCCCACTGGCTCCGGAGGGCATCCAGGGCATCTTCCCACACCTCAGTTATGTCCATATTTGCAGGAGGGACCCGGCGTGTTGGGACCTGGCATCGGCATGGCTGCCCAGCCCAGGGCTCTGGGGCTCTGGCTCCAGACTCTGCTCCGTGAGCTCTGAAGGGCAGGCTTGGTGCTCCCCAGCGGCTCCAGGCAAAGAATAGGAGCTTTCACGCCATGAACGTGGGCAGGAGACCCAGCCGCTTGTTCCCAGCTGGTTTTGGTATTAACGTTTCTGACAAAGCGCGGCGTGAGGACCCGGTGGGAGGTGCCACCGTGGTCAGGGACCTCCCACCTCTGTTATCCCGAGCGCTCTATGGAAGGGTCTGGAAATGCAAACCCACTGTCTCTTAACATGAGGGTCAGCATAAAAGTAACGAGCATCTCGTCATGGTCCCCCAGCCCCCGGAGGGCCCTCAGGACCATTGGCTCTGTATCATCAGGGTTCTCCGGAGGAACGGAAACCAAAGGATGGAGAGCTATATAGAAGTATGTATGTATACACGTGTATATTCAATTGCACGAACATGTATGTGTGCACATGTACTACTCTGCACAGACGTGCATGTATATCTATACATAGACATCCTACGACATGCATATATATACGTGCATATACACACACACACATATACCCTATTGCACTTATATACATATTTATGTCTACATATATACACATAAATTGTATACACATACTTGGGCAATTGAATATACATACACATGCATGCAATTGAATATACATGTGTATATACATACACATGCATGGATATGCCATAGGATTTATATCTGTGTACACACACACACACACACACACACACACACACACATACACACACACACATACTGGGTTGGGCAAAAAGTTTGTTTCGGTTTTTCCATAAGACCCTACAGAAAAACCCGAACGAACTTTTTGGCCAACCCACTGTATACAGGCAATAGGGTGTGTATGTGTATATACACGTGTGTATACATGCAATATGATATATATGCGACCGGATACGTGTGTATATATACACACACACGTATATACACACCCATACATACAACTGTATGCAAGAGGATATATATATATATACACATAAGTGTACACGTGTATACAAGCACACATGCCTATATTTGCACATATATGTACCTACAAATGTAAAATATAATATATACACAAAGACATTTATCTCAAGGAATTGGCTGACACTGGTTGTGGGGCTGCTGAGTCTGAAACCCGCAGGGCAGGGGGCGGGGCTAAAGACCCAGGCACCAGCTGACCCTCCTGCCTGGACTCAGAATTCCTCCTTCTCTGGGGAACCTCAGCGTCTGCTCTTAAGATCGTGACCCGATGGGCACTTTCCCCCACTCCTGTAATACATATTCCGACTGCACCCTCCTTTGCCCACAAAGAGCCCATCCTATGCTTGGGAAAAGCCCTGGGAGCTCACGGTGGGGTCAAGACAAGAACAAAGATGCCACACACCCGCCCAGCAGCCGTTCCATCTCCCCCATGGTTTGCAGGGAATGGGCTGGCAGCCCCACGAGGTACCTGGGCCTCTCCGTGGGCTCCTGTATTGCTGTGCACTTCCCAGGAGGCAAGGAGGCCGCTGGGGTTCCAAAACCGTGTCCGGCGGGGACGTGGCACCTGGAAGCAGGTGCTTGCAAGAAAAGCATCGCTCCCTGCAACCGTGGTCCCTGGATCCCTCGGCTGGGAGCAGCCCGGGGGAGGCTCCTCTGTGGGATCATTGGGGAGAAGCAGAGGATGCTCTCTGTGGTCTCGGGGGGGAACCCCGAGGACCCCCCTATCAGGGCCGGAGCCGGGCAGGGGATCCACTCCCCTTTGCAGTTTGGGAACGTGTCACCAGCACACCTCCAAGCCCCTTTTCTATCTTCATGCCCTGCTGGAGCTACCGGTGATGTCACAATAAGAGGATTATTGTGACATCACCGGGGAGGGAGGGAGGGAGGGAAGACATGGGGATGATGTCTTAGGGGCCCCAACATCCACCACCACCCCCGCCCCAAAGGAGCAGCCACAATGGGTGCTCTGGGATTGGGGTCCCGAACTTGGAAGGGAGTGGAGCTGCGGTGTTGGGGTGATGAGCTGTTATGGGCCAAAGGCAGGAGGCCAGGCACAGGGCGACAGTTACTATCCTGCTGGGACCACAACGCCAGCAGCACAGCACACCTGTGTGGTCGGGGAGGGCAGCCTGCGATACCCAGCACAGCCTCGGGGTGGGGGGACCCTGACTTCACTGTGTGCCAGTGAAGAAATCGGGGCTCAGAGCATCCGAGGGAAGCTACTTTGCAGGTTGGAAACAGAGTCATTCCCTTGGTAACTTTGTAAGCTTGTACCTCGGCCTCACCACCCTGCCTCCTCATGGCCCCAGCATTAAAGCCTCCGCACCGTGCCTCACAGCACGCTCCCCATGCTTCCAAGTCGCAGAAAGGAAGAAGGTTGCCAGGGGAGGGGCAGGAGTGCAGTGATCCAGTGGGCAGTTACAGGAAGAGTCCTGTGTCCTCTGGCCCCAGCAGACTTGAGCCCACACCTGCTGCCTGCAGGGACAGGACACGGGTCTCCACGTCCCGGTGTGGGGTCTCTTCCACCCCCCCCCACCCGGTGCAGGATGGAGGGGCCGGTTTGTGACCCCCATGCTGGGTCAGGAGCCGGGCAGCCGGTGGTGGGTGTTTTCAAATGGCTCCTTGTAGCTTTTGTGGGTGATGCGGCCCTTGAGGATTTAGCATCTATGGGGTCTGGGATACAGGTGGAGGGCGGGGAGTGGGACCAGAAGGGAGGGAGGGTCAGCAGAGGAGGAACCGGGAGCTGCCTGCCCCTCGGGCGCCGGGGACCCTCCCATCTCTCGTCCCTGTGCGGGCGGGGACCCCGTCGTCCGCCCGTCTCAGCCCTGGCGCCCCTCTTCTCTCCCAGATCGGCCCCCCAAGCCCCGGCTCCAGGATGGACATGAACCTGACGCGTCCGGACAACGCCACGCTCCTGGCGCTGCGGGACCCGGCCATCGCGGTGGTCCTGCCGGTGGTGTACTCGCTGGTGGCGCTGATAAGTATCCCGGGCAACTCGTTCTCCCTGTGGGTGCTGTGCCGCCACATGGGACCCAAGACACCCTCGGTCATTTTCATGATGAACCTGAGCGTCACGGACCTGATGCTGGCCTGCGTGCTGCCCTTTCAGATCTACTACCACTGCAACGGCAACCACTGGGTGTTCGGCGAGCTGCTGTGCAACGTGGTGACCGTGGCCTTCTACGCAAACATGTACTCCTCCATCCTCACCATGACCTGCATCAGCGTGGACCGCTTCCTGGGCTTGTACCTCGGCCTCACCACCCTGCCTCCTCATGGCCCCAGCATTAAAGCCTCCGCACCGTGCCTCACAGCACGCTCCCCATGCTTCCAAGTCGCAGAAAGGAAGAAGGTTGCCAGGGGAGGGGCAGGAGTGCAGTGATCCAGTGGGCAGTTACAGGAAGAGTCCTGTGTCCTCTGGCCCCAGCAGACTTGAGCCCACACCTGCTGCCTGCAGGGACAGGACACGGGTCTCCACGTCCCGGTGTGGGGTCTCTTCCCCCCCCCCCCCACCCGGTGCAGGATGGAGGGGCCGGTTTGTGACCCCCATGCTGGGTCAGGAGCCGGGCAGCCGGTGGTGGGTGTTTTCAAATGGCTCCTTGTAGCTTTTGTGGGTGATGCGGCCCTTGAGGATTTAGCATCTATGGGGTCTGGGATACAGGTGGAGGGCGGGGAGTGGGACCAGAAGGGAGGGAGGGTCAGCAGAGGAGGAACCGGGAGCTGCCTGCCCCTCGGGCGCCGGGGACCCTCCCATCTCTCGTCCCTGTGCGGGCGGGGACCCCGTCGTCCGCCCGTCTCAGCCCTGGCGCCCCTCTTCTCTCCCAGATCGGCCCCCCAAGCCCCGGCTCCAGGATGGACATGAACCTGACGCGTCCGGACAACGCCACGCTCCTGGCGCTGCGGGACCCGGCCATCGCGGTGGTCCTGCCGGTGGTGTACTCGCTGGTGGCGCTGATAAGTATCCCGGGCAACTCGTTCTCCCTGTGGGTGCTGTGCCGCCACATGGGACCCAAGACACCCTCGGTCATTTTCATGATGAACCTGAGCGTCACGGACCTGATGCTGGCCTGCGTGCTGCCCTTTCAGATCTACTACCACTGCAACGGCAACCACTGGGTGTTCGGCGAGCTGCTGTGCAACGTGGTGACCGTGGCCTTCTACGCAAACATGTACTCCTCCATCCTCACCATGACCTGCATCAGCGTGGACCGCTTCCTGG